TTTTTACTGAACAGCTAGCAAACTTCATAGGCATGTCTCCAAGAGTAAATGTTTATCTTTTTTTCTCATTTGTTTCTCTTTGAATTTACTCACAAGTTTTAAAAATCAAAGTTTGACCTTGTAGTCAGTTATCCAACTTTTTGATTGAATTGACCTCTGTATGACACCTGAGCCTGCCCATTTGAATCTTCTCTGGAATTTACCACCTGCTCTATAAAACTACATTGATGCCCCTTATTTTACAATAGTCAACATGGATACATTAATTAAAAATCCTTAAAGTTTAGTAGATTATCTTCAAATGAAAAAATGAATGTAATAAAAGTCAGCCAACAAATTTTATTAAGTAAACATTGTGTCAGAAGCACTATGAAAAATTACAAAGAGGCTAAACTCTGGAAAACCTGGAGAGTTTAGACATTTATTTTTTTAGGTGTAACTATAAAGGAAAGTGTCTCCACAAGCCACCTGCTAAATTGATCCCCATAGTCGTTAAGAGCAGAAAATGTATATACTAATTATTTGCTTTTAACATTTGAATACCCCTGTATTATACTTTTTGTCCGGTATTTGCTTTTAAGGTTGTATTTAAATTGATGAAAGATACAGAAAACAGTCATTACTCTTAAGATCAAATGAAACCTCGCATTGCAGTCTGTCTGCTCATCCATAATTCAGGATCCCAGCCTCAAACACGAGGCTCAGACAAGCACAAATATTGGCAAAGGTGAAATACTGAATGACTACAGTAGCAGCTAAATGATGTAGCAATCTGTGTGTGCACTTCAATCTTCTTGCACTAGAAATAAAAATTAAAAGCATAAAACAGCCAAATATTATGGTTATAAACTAAATAAGCAAGAGAGGAAAGCCAAGTTGCAACTATTCAAAGCTACGTGCTTTTTATTAGTTATACATGGATCTGATATGGTAATAAAACCCAAGATGTGGAAAGGCACTTGTCCCTCAGATTATCTATCCAGGCCTCCAAAAAAGGGGGTGGAGGGGGGGATGCAGATTCTAGAAGAATGCTCTTACGGATTTGAACTTTGAAAATAGCAACTCTAGTTCTATTTAGGTTAATAGAAAAGTATTTTTCCTCAAAAAAATTTCTTCATATATCTTAATTATCTGGGCCAGTGGTCGGCAAATTCATTAGTCAATAGAGCCAAATATCAACAGTACAATGATTGAAATTTCTTTTGAGAGCCAAATTTTTTAAACTTAAACTATATAGGTAGGTACATTGTTATTAACTTAATTAGGGTACTCCTAAGGCTTAGGAAGAGCCACACTCAAGGGGCCAAAGAGCCGCATGTGGCTTGCGAGCCACAGTTTGCCGACCATGGATCTGGGCAATATTGCCCACCCTCCATTTATGAGGAACTTGGTCACTAAACACCCTTGACAGAAGCAGGTCTTCTCTGTCTGGGACGTTGACTCTTGCTTGGGCTCAAAACATCAGTGAGCCGCACAGTGAGAGCTGAACACAGGAGGGGACATGTCCCTCGCCAGCTGAATCAGCAGAATTCACCCAGCAGATCAATAGGTGAGCAGACAGATCTGCAGGCCCCTTCACTTCCAAGGTTCATTTTGTTTCCACTGATGTAGGCCAGGCTAGATATGGCCCCAAGACCTTACATTTTATAACCATTATTAACATATCCTATATAATAAAGAGGTAAAATGCAAATTGACCATCACAACCTTGCACAAGATGGCCGCTCCCATGTGGGCCCAAGATGGCCACCATAAGATGGCTGGCAGGGGAGGGCAGTTGTGGGCAACTGGGCTGGCAGGGGAGGGCAGTTAGAGGCAATCGGGCCGGCGGGGGGGGGGGCAGTTGGGGGCAATCAGGCTGGCAGGGGAGCAGGGTAGGTGTCGATCAGGCTGGCAAAGGAGTGGTTAGGGGGTGATCAGGTTGGCAGACAGAAGCGGTTAGAGGCAATCAGGCAGGCAGGCAGGTGAGTGGTTGGGAGCCAGCAGTCCCGGATTGTGAGAGGGATGTCGGAGTGCTGGTTTAGGCCTAATCCCTGTGGGATCGGGGCCTAAATCAGCAGTTTGACATCCCCCAAGGGGTCCCAGATTGGAGAGGGTGCAGGCTGGGCTGAGGGACAACCCTCCCCCTCCCAGTGCATGAATTTCATGCACTGAGCCTCTAGTATATAGATATATGCATATATATATATATATATATATATATATATATATATATAATGTATATACATATGAAGTAGTTGATGCTAAGAGCTAATGATAATTGTCTAGTGCTCAGAAATATCATCTCTTTCTAAACTATAAAGTTTATTGCTCTAAATTTATCAGGTATCCTTATGACATGTTGTAATGTTTTCTTTGACTAGAAAGAAAAAAAAATATATAGTAAGTGTAGTCATCTCACTATGTAATAAAATTACTAGTTTTATGCAGCACAGAATATATAAAACCATTATAATTCCTCTCCAAATCTGAGAAAATTGCAACAAATGATCAGGCCTTTGCCTTCTCGTACAATTTTCTTTCATGGCTATTGCAACAGTTCACCACATCATGGTATTTATAGTTTCCAAAGCACCTTCATCTATCATCTCACTGAGCTTGACAACAATCCTGAGAGATGTGGACAAAAATCCGCATTTTGCTAGTGGGGTCCCTAAATGCATAGATGTTAAATAGGACATCCACTGTCACAGGTGAAGGATGGGGCGGGGGGGCGGGTTCTAATGCTTTCCCCTATTCCACGCACATCTCAAGAAAAACCACTTATATAGCCACCACAAAAAATATTGTAATTTTTTGATCCAGTAATCCCACTTCTAGGAATATTTCCAAAGAAACCAGAAATAACAATCAGAAAGGATATATGCACCCCTATGTTCATAGCAGCACAATTTACCATAGCTAAGATTTGGAAACAGCCTAAGTGCCCATCAGAAGATGAGTGGATTAAAAAACTGTGGTGCAACTACACAATGGAATACTATGCTGCTGTAAAAAAGAAAGAAGTCTTACTATTTGCAATAGCATGGATGGACCTGGAGAGCATTATACTAAGCGAAATAAGCCAGTCGGAGAAAGATAAATATCACATGATCTCACTCATATGTGGAATATAATAAACAACATAAACTGATGAACTAAAATAGATCCAGAAGCACAGAAGCATCAAACAGACCATCCAACCTCAGAGGGAAGGCGGGGAGGCAGGGAGGAGAGGGAGAGAGATGAACCAAAGGACTTATATGCATGCATATGAGCATAACTCATGGACACAGTCAGTAGGGGGGTAGGAGTGAGGGCATGTACTGGGGGGGATGAGTGGGAGAAGTCAATGGGGGAAAAAGGATTCATATGTAATACTTTAAACATAAAGAATAAATAAGTAAGTAAATAAATAAATTACATTAAAACATTTAAAAAATATATTTTAAAAAACCAAGCTAAACATCAGTACTCTTCTCTCTCCTCTCACCCCTAACCATAACCTTAAAAGAGTTGTCAAACCAAAATAAGAATAAAATGTCTGTAGGATCATAAGCCAATTCTGAATTATTTTCAAATTTACTCTTTATAATTTCCCTTTATTGCCAATCGCATCCAGAGAACTTTCCCATTTAGTGCACTCAAAGGAAAATCTGCTTTATTACCTAATTACCTTCCCCATAGTTTGTAAGAGACCTGAGGTCACTGAGACACCAAATGCACAGAATGGTTCAGTAATTAACACCTGGGCAAACAGCCAAGACAAGACAGAGGCATGGAACTCCAAATTCAGTGCTCCGCCTCCCCAAGCAGACATACAACTTTCCCTGGAGATCCCTGGCACTGGGCAGACCCAGTCAGAGGTCTGTTCAGACTATGGAGGAAGTCTATGCCCACATACTCAACAGAGATCTGTTTGGGGACCACGTGACAAGGGGAGCTTCTAATTGGTGGTTTCTGGTAGGGTGGGGAAACTGCCAGTTTCACTCATGACCTGATTTTCTAAAGCTGGGAGCATGTTCCGGGCCATAAATATCCAGACTTAAGCATTTAGTCTGTATTTGAAAGGTCAAGCGTGCTTAACTGAAAATTAACGCTATGCACATCAAGTCCACTGCAAGCCAGGGAAGTGGAGTTATGACAGATTAATATGATGCCCATGGTGCAAATCCACACTGATCGCTTGCTGGAAATTCTAGAAAACCGGAAGGCCAACCTATAACATTATTGGACAAAGACTAGAGCAAATCCCTGCTAACATTGGATATTTTTATATCCTAAGAACGTGCGTTTGAAGCCTGGGAGAGGTAGAATGGGAATTGTACAGGGAAGCAGTCTTATATCTATAGATGATGATGATTTTTATGGCTCAAGGAGTATACATGTTGAAAGAAAATTCACAAATAGGAACTCGTTTATGAGCTGACATAACATTTGACTGTTGTTTCCCTTGCAAAGAGCACCTTGCTCTTAGAGAAACAACACTGGTGGGAGCGGTTCCAGTCCACAGGCTGCCACTAACCACTGATCTCAGCACCCCTTTGGGCCTCTTTGGCCCATTTTTCTTAAAGACTTTCTATGTCTCTAAGGGCTTTCCTGTTGGGATAAGTAAGCCACTGGTTTACTTATCAGACAATAGCATCTAGTTACTTGTTACCACTGTCACGACACCTTATGGGGCGCTGTCACGGAGCCGTGTTGCCATTTGTTACTGAAGGAGAGTTTGCTATAGCTCTGAACTCCCACTGGACACCGAATAGCCATTACTAAGGCCACACAAATGCAGATGCAAAATCAACATAAGAACTTTGTCTTTTTGCTACATAAAGAAGACAGAATCTTAAAGTAGCATCCACTCGTTTGAAAACACTGGGATGAAAGACATTTTGCTATTCCTTGTTATGATTTCATAAAATTGAATAAAAATGCAAGCGCCTTGAAAAGGTTCTGAGATAAACGGATATTGAAAGCGCAGTAACAACAAAAGCCCGAAAACGAGGGCCGCTTCTGTGCCTTACCCTGCAGCCTCTGCATCACGTTGGCAATGTCCCGCGGAGACCGAGAGGCCGTCCTGGAGGCTGCCATGGTCCCCGCTGCAGCATGAAACCCACTGCAGAGACTCTTGGCTCCAGGCAGAGCAGGACTAGGCCGCTCCAGAAAACACCTTGAACTTCACTGGATCTATGGGGTCATGATGCCACCCCGGGCACGGGGGCAGCCAGGGCGGAGACAGCACTCCCAAAGGTGAAACCACTTCTTTTCCTTCCTCTTCAATAAACTCAGGAGCCTGAAAAACACACAGGACAGGTACAATATTTTAAAAATCCACTTAGGTCACCATAGTGCTCAAATAAGAACTATTTCTATTCAATTTGAATAGATGATTCATTACCAAGTGAAATGACTAATGGGAAAAGACTTGTAAGGTACTAGGCAACTACTAGGAATTTTGATGATAGTCGATAAAACAAATACATACACAAGACATAGGCAATCAAATTGGTAGCTAAGAGGAGAAATGTTCTCTTTTAGTTCATGTTTTTAAACTATAAACTTTCTCCATTGGTCTATGAAACGTGAAAGTTTAAAACACAGAGTTCCATTTCTCATTACCACAGGCTCTCTCTCCTATGCTGTGTTAGCCTGCTTTGCACAGCTGATGTTGCTGTTTTGTTTGTACACTTCCCAGGAATGAGAGCAAATCTTAGTTCGTAATAACACTTTGGTGAATTAAAACATAAATATAAAACTATTTTATTCTAAAACTTTGAATTTCAAATATCCTGACTTTAGAAGTCAAAATTGGTTAGATTTAGTGTTTTTTCTCTCCACACAGATTCTGAAGTAAGTTGTAAGGGTGGAGTAGGAGTGGTTAAGCAGACAAGACATTTTCCTTCTAACTTCTTCCTAAAGTCTCTGCTGTGGTCCAGTTTAGCTCATAATTCTTCAGTGGGGGAGGGGGGAAAGAGGTAGGAGAGTAGTTGCTAAAATCTTGACATTGAGACATGTACTTGGAACAAGAATTTCTTAACCCTGGGGTTAGCTGGAGAGAAGGTTTTGCCACAGATAAAATAATTAATGACAGAAAAAGAGGAACGTGAAAAATGTGCCCAGAGAAAGAAACTTAACCACGGGGCCAAACCAAAGGGGCCTATGTCAGAGTGACACTTGTTACAGTTCACACGCATCTCTGTGATATGATGATACCAGTAAAGGCAGAGAAGAGGAACGGGGAGGGGGCCCGGGGAGGATGATAAAAACAAAACTGTAAAGAAAACACAGCACATGTATGTGGGATGGTCCACCTGTCAAAAGGAAAAATAAGAACATAAGAGGAGTCTATGAATGCTATCAAAAATTCTATTATCAACTGAATGTATATAAATAGTATTATTTGTGAAGGGTTGGTTAAGTAGAATCATGTAAGTACAATGTACAACTGGCTGTAAGGTGTCATTATTAACACTAGTATATAATGGGTTAGAATGCACAGACTCCAAGCTGATAGTAATCTTTTTTAATTATTTTATTTTTTTAATATATTTTTATTGATTTCAGAGAGGAAGGGAGAGGGAGAGAAATATAGAAACATCAATGATGAGAGAGAATCATTGACTGGCTGCCTCTTGCATGCCCTACACTGGGGACTGAACCCGCAACCTAGGCATGTGTCCTGGCCAGGAATCGAACTGTGGCCTCCTAGTTCATAGGTTGATGCTCAACCACTGAGCCACACCAGCTGGGCAACAGTAATCTCTTTTAGATTACCATTTTGAAAAGGATGCAAAACATTGCACACCGCTACTGTCCCCACGTGCAAAAGCATCTAAAAGGTGGACTGGGGCAGGAAAGGGGCTCTGGTCACTTAGCAAGTTAGGGGACGGGGTGGGCGCAGTGAATAGCATTAGTTGATAAAAAGGCAGCGCGGGCTTCTCTTGGCTACTTGAAAGGATACCCACTAGAAGTAGACCCAATACTTGGCAGCTTCTCGGCTGAAGGGGCGCTTCTCAGTGGGTGGCTCTCCGAGTGATTCTCAGAGGAGAAATGATTACTATGACTGGCCTGTCATGCATCCAGGCCCACAGCCTGCGATGACTATGTACCCATTAGCAGCCTTCACCTCCTGGGAACAAATATTCCACCTGCCCGCATACACAAACTACCTTAACCTGAAAACCAACAGACAATGAGAAGTGCCTGAGGAATTTTACAAGGGCCTCTTCTAAGCTGTTAGAAAGTTAGGTTCTCCAAATGCAACACTGTAACTTTCTGAAATCTATCATCTATCTATCTATCTATCTATCTATCTATCTATCTATCTACATATACTGAATACTAAGTAGGGATGAGGAAAGAGATTCATTTTCATTCAGCTGCCCACACCAAGCCATGCTCAGCACTGTAGTTCACAGATGACTAAGACATGACCACCACTGTCAATCAAGAATTGTGAAATTAAAAGGATTTTTTTAAAGTCATTGCATTGCAGATCACCACGTTCCTACCCTCGTATAGTTCACATTCATGTTACCCAATAGATCAATACTGAAATGTGTATCTATCCTTCCCTCCATCCCTCTTTTGATGCCACACAAAAGCCAGAAGAGCTCTGCTGTGTCCACCTTCAGCTTATGCATCAGTCTCACTTCTACAGTGTGTCCTATTCCTCTTAGTACCACCCTTCAGCATTATTTTCCCTCCATTGCTCCAATACCACCCATCTATACTATTATGCATATGATTTGTCTTATATTTTTCACCATTATTAGCCTTGGCTCACTCTAAGATCATTGCTAGCCTTATCTCACTCAGATTAGACCACGGACATTTTGCAGGTATAGAGACTATAAGTCTTATTGCTTTGACATCTCACCTATTGATACCAAGTATATCTGTGAGCACATCGCAGTCCTCAATACATATTTTTGTTTAATTAAATCAAGTTCATAATACTTCACCTCTATGAGCTAACCCCCAGAAAACCATCCACCCCCTGCAAAAGGGGTTGGCGCAATATCCTTCCTATTTTAGACACAAGATAAAATATTTTGCATGTGTACACATATTTCCTCTTTTGCAAAATTATGATACTCTTGCTTTTTACTGATACTTTAACTTCAGAGGACATATCATTTGATTTAAAAAGTTTAAGTGAGTAAAACAAAGATAATAAAAGGAGACTGAGAATTAGAAGCTATGAGTTTAGGCTTAGTTTTGTTCCAAACAGTTGGGTGATTTGGAGCTGGTTCTGTGGACAGAGGCCCTCGACCACTGCCTGCCCCGGGGAGTGTGGTGCCAAGAAATGGGCTAAAAAGACATGGAGCTGAGTCCGAATTCTGTCTCTTACTGTCCATGTGACCTTAAGATAAGTGAACTTTTCTGAGCGCTTGTTTTCCCATCTGTAAAAGGAAGTAATTTTATGCTAATAAGTTTGATTTCATCCTGCTAAATTAAATTTAAAGTGTGTCTGGCATGTAGTAGAGTTTCTTTCCCCTGGCCTCCGTTTCTCTCCCTGCAGTTTGAGTGAAGACATGCTCTCGGGTGAGCTCTTCAGTTCCAAAACCAACGGCGGCACCTGTGACCGCTAAAACCACTGCTGGTACAAGGTCACGAGATCTTGAAGGTCACTCCTTGAACTGACTGATTACCTAGCAGTGGCTGTGGCCGTGACCTCCCAAATCAGAATGATGGGAAGATAACCATGTCCAGGGTGATTACAAGTTTTAATAGGCACAGGATATTGTGAGGGTGGGAGAGGGAGAGGGGAGCAACCAGTATCAGGATGGAAAGGGAGAATTAGGCAGACATTGCTAGGCGGTGTACCAATGAGCAGTCCCTGCACCATCTCCAAACCCTTCCAGCAGGAGGAACTGAGATGACAAGGGAGCTAAGTCCATCCTCCATACCTAGCAGAGAGGCAAGATTCCTGAATTTATTATTTCATTCAGAAAAAAAAATGTATTGAGGAACTATTTGACAATGATACTAAGTAAACAGCAGTGAACAAGACAGATAAGCCTCTCTGAGAGCTTATGTACCAGAGGAGGAGATGATAAATCAACACTACAGCAAAGTAGAGTGAGTGTTGTAATGCAGAAACCCAGGGTTCTGTGGAAACAAGCTCAGTGCCCAATCAATAGCCATCTGCTGTATTTATTGTGCAGGATGCAGAGGGATTTTAACTGTCTGCTGTTTGGGATTCTCCTTTCTGAACAGCATGCTCTTCTGTCACCCACACCTGTGAAAAGCACAGCCCCAAATCATCACAGCGGAACCTTGCCAATCTCTAAGCCAGTGGTTCTCAACCTTCTGGCCCTTTAAATACAGTTCCTCGTGTTGTGACCCAACCATAAAATTATTTTCGTTGCTACTTCCTAACTGTCATGTTGCTACTGTTATGAATCGTCATGTAAATATCTGATATGCAGGATGGTCTTAGGCGACCCCTGTGAAAGGGTCGTTCGACCGCCAAAGGGGTCTCGACCCACAGGTTGAGAACCGCTGCTCTAAGCAGCGTGGACAACTGGCTACTGAAGCGGTTTCTTGTTTGTGCTCCTAAGAGGGAAGACACTAACTAGGAAAAACACTAGAAGAAACACTACGAGGCCACAGAAATACATCTTAAAGCGACGTAGCTACAGGTTTAGGTGTGGAGAAACGAGAGCAGAAAATTCCAAACCCGCAACAATCGGAGATGAGGTGGCTCATTTCTGACTGAAGAGGATGAAGTGACACCATAAAACATAAGCTGATGGACAGCATGCTGCTGGGCTGTACATGAAGTATGGCTATTACTTAATCAGCTGCCTAAATATGCTCAAGAATAGCATCGCTATTAAAATCCACTTAAACAAAAATAGAAAAGCTAATGAATGCATTCCGACCTCCTTCTAGCTAAGTTCTTTGCTGGAATGAGTCACATAAGTGTCTAATTTTAAATTTCATTATTGATTTTCTCTTTCACCCTTTAGTGATGGTCTAATTAACAACAACAACAAAACTAAGGTGGCTAAATGGTATAAAGATGGCTAATGGGAAGAAGAGGGCCGTCCAGGAGTTACCATAAATACACTGCTACCGTATGTGTGGGGGGGTCAGTGAGTAGAACTGGTAATTACTCACTATTATGACATCTACAGGGTACCAAATAAGCACTGGTCCTTAGCCTGCAAGAGCAAAAATACAAACAATTCATCAAAAGACAAAGTATAGAGCCGATGGGCATGAAAGATATTGTCATGATTCAACTCCATTTTTATAAGCTTGGAGTATTATTAATCATGCCCAAACACATCAGCTACCTTTCTGTCCTCCTTTGCTAGAGTATATACCGCACTCTTTGCCAAACATGAGCTCTTGTTGAATTAGTCCCTAAGGAAGGGTACAGCACTATACTACAGAGGAGGAGAAATGCAGATTTCCTCACCGAGGAGTCCTGGGTCTTGTGGCTGTCACCTTCAGGCCACAGGGTGTGGCGGCAGTAGAATCTAGCGCGGGAACCGCAGGAGAAAATGCTACCAACCTTGCCCAATCATGGGCTTGCCTCCTCTTTCCATTACACCTCCTCTCATTTCTAAGAAGCTGTTGCATAATTATCAGAGAGCAAGTCTTAGGTGTAGCACCCTACACATTTCACACAAGCAATTCTTGAACATTTTAAAATGGTAAACTACCCTTCCCCAATCCCTACTCCTTTGCAGAACAGAATCAAGTGAGAAGAAATCTCTTCATGGGCACAGTGACGACAGAAAGAAAGCAGTGGGGAAAGTCACCAGCTGAGAAAGATACTAATGAGACTATCCCGTAGAAGCTAAGCAAATGTTTTCAAAGGTCAGCAATGTTATCTGAGTCAAGCTGCGCCTGTATCTTCTGCATGAAACATACTAAGTTAGCCTTCATCTGGCACATTTCATTCTGAATTTGCCACAAAGTAATACAGATTCAAAGACACAAGAAGAAATAGACATGTACTATTCCACTGCGCTGGTGATGTCAGGGACGTTTTATCTATACTATCCATCTTTTTCACCGTGGGGAACAACAAGCCTCTGAAAAAACCATCCTCATGACTCATGATTCAATCAGCATTTTACGCACATGTGGGTCGCATGAATAACCTTTGCCTAACTGAGAATGATGACACTTTCTCTCGGGTAGATCTGGTTTCTGGTTACAAATGTTTTCTTTCGGAAAGTGGCCACCAGATGAAGACAAACATAAGCACTAAAGAAAAGAAAAAAAATAATAATTCACTTTGAACTTTCGTAACCTTCACTGAAAAATGGCAGCTACAACCATGGTTTCTACTCCAAACTGCTCAGACATGAACATTCCGGGACGGTAGGGCCCATTCCACAGCGGATGCTTCTGGCTGGGCTGGGCCCGAACCTGCAGCCTCCACGCTGGTATCCAGGCTGCACACCGAACCCGTTTCCCTAAGGGGTCCCTCTACTTCCTGTGGCCTGGTCCCCTGCCCCTCGCCGGCACCTGCCGCCTGGGGAGCACCCTTGCAGGGACTCCTCGGGCAGCAGCGCACCACCTCTGTCTGAAACGCGTGCTCTGGAGGAGAGGAAAGTTGTCTTCCCTCTAGCGTAGGCTCTCCGCGGAAGCATTTGCTGGGTGACAGCTGAGTAGAGTCTGGAGCTGGGGCCTCCTTCAGGCTTCCAGCCCTGGGCTTTGCCGCCCGCCCCCCTCCCTCAGCCCTTCCCAAAATAGTCTGGGCTGGAGGAAGGGAGGCTCCGAGAATGCGTCCAACGCCCCACACCTCCCATCCGAGAGGAGCCGCAGTGCCAGCCATCACAATGAGAGGGTGGCAGCCTTTTGCTTGGGCATCATTGGAGCCCAGAGAGGTGCCATAAGCGGAAATGACAAGTCAGAGAGGGGGCTCCGCAGAGGGGCAGCTGCGTACAAGATGCTGGGAACACGCTCCCCTCCTCCGGCCTCCCCACCCAGAGCACCGCACGCACACACCACGGCCCCCGCCTTCCCCCGAGCACGCACCGCCCGTGCAGCAAGTGCAAACTTGCTCGCAATTTGTCTGCCATCTCTTCGGCTCGCACCCAGCTTCTCAGCCCCTCTCCTTCTCTTCCCGCCCCCATCTCTCCTTCCTTTTACCTTCTCTCTCCCGGGCTGGCTCAGGCTCCAGGCGGCGCAGCGAGCGAATGGCCGGCGCCGCCTCCGTAGCCCGGCGCTAGCGGATGCAGGGCTGCGGGGAGCCCGCCGCCGGGTTCCGAGGACAACGCGCAGGGCGGGCTCCCGAGCCGCAGCCGCGCTCCCGGGCTGGCGCACCGGCTCAGCGGGCGCCGGCTGCTCCGCCACGCTCCCTCCTCTGCGATCCGGTCCTCCCCCCGGCTGCACCCTGGGGGTTTAGGCCTCCCCCTTCGCCCCCTCCCCCGGCCCCCCCGCCGCTCCCGGAGCGAATGCTCCTTTCCGAGGGGCAGGTCGGGTGTTGGTGCAGTTCCCAGGCGGGGTCCCAGCACTACCCGGAGTCGCCACACCCCTCCTGGCCGCGCGCCAGGCTCCAGGTTGCGCTGGTCCCTGGACAGGGGACCGGGAGGCTGTCTGACAGGCGTCCCTTACCTCCCTCCCGGAGATGCAGGGCCTCGGGCTTTTCTCTGCAGCAAAGTCAGGCCTGTGACCCACCCTCTCGGTGAGCCTTTCACCTCCTGGGGGTCTAGGAGGGAAGAAATGGCCTAGAGCCCCAGCCAGACTATGTGTGCGCGGCCCCTAACTTCAGCCTGGGGTTTCCACCTCCAGGTTGACCTTTTTGGAGCAGAACCTATCTTGAAAGGCTGGGGAAGTGCCCCGATGGTCCCAGGAAGGAAGTGATGCAGTTCAATAAGAACATTCCGGGCTCCCATTCAATGGACTTTTCAGAAAGATAGTAGCAGCTGACCTTTTGACTGTCAGTTCAGCAGCCCGTAACATCACGGAGACTGGCCGGGCTTTGCAGGGTTTTGCCATTGTTGTTTATCCAGCTTCGCTCTCTGGAGAAGGCACTGGGCATCTTCATCGGATTTACTGCTGAGTGTTTATTAAGATGATGCCGAAGAGTTGCCTCCAGTTCCGTCGGACGCACCATTTGAGCCTGTGTGAGTCTGTCCGGACAAGGCCTTCTCCTGGTGCGGGAGAGATCCCCGTGTTGGTGTTGCCTAGTAGCACTCAGGAGAATGATTTTGTTGTGGTTTTATGGTTTCCAAGCAAAGTCAAACACAGTCTCTCTTCACGGACAATGAAGTCCAAGGGCAGCGGGAGGAGGGCAGCTAAAATAATTGAAGCTATGTTGCAAGAATCTTAAGCATAATAATTACCCCCTCGGATTTTCAATCTGAGCAAAAACAGTTCTTATTCTCTAACTTTGCTGAATGGAGGGACTGGCTTACAAAGCAAAAGTTTCTCTTTCCCCTCACTCACTGCCAACACTCCAGTCTTTAGCTTTGCATTTTCTTCAAATTTTTTCTTTGGGTTCTATAAAAATAGTAATAGCCATGTGCTATATGATGACGTTTTTGTCAACAACGGACTGCATCTACACTGTGGTCCTATAAGATTATAGTGGAGCTGGAAATTCCTAAGGTGTAGTGACCTGGTAGCCCTATGTTGTAACGCAGCCCTGCCTGGCCGGGTGGCTCAATTGGTTGAGCATTGTCCTGAAAACAAAAGATCACTAGTTCAATTCCCAGTCAGGTTTTGGTTCCATCCCAGGTTGGGGAGGCAACCTGATCTATGTTTCTCTCCTTCTCTTTCCTTCTCCCTTCCTCTCTCTCTAAAATCCATTACATGTTTTTTTAAAATATGTCTTGCATGTTTATGGTGATGCTGCTGTAAACAAACATACTGTCCCACCAGTCCCATAACTAGCACATCCAACTGCCTACAGTTTATTATATTTTATAGTAATAAAAAAGGACTATTACTGGTTTATGTATTTACTATACTTTTTATCATTATTTTAGTGTATTCTTTTACTTATTGAGAAAAGTTTGCTGTAAAACAGTGTGCCATGCTGTGCTGGCGGCAGCCTCATACATCTCGTGTTTACCCCTTCTCTTGATCACATCATTTTCTCCTATCCTTGATTTATTTTTGTTGTTGCTGTTTTATACAGTACCAAGCAATATATGTGTGTAGTTAAAAGCAGTAAGCTATAGCATATAGCCTAAGTATATAGTAGGCGATACCATCTAAGTTTGTGTAAGTTCCCTCTGTGAAGTTCACACAATAACTATCTCCATAGTTAAGTAACATGACTACCGCTAAAATGAATCTGGTAAACGAATCTGGTAAGCTATCTTTCCTTTAGAGCCCAAAGAATCGATCTCTAATTGCATAGGAGAAGGCAGTGTTTGGTATCAGTCTCAATGTATATTGTGCCTCAGCCTCTGCCCAAGGCGACTCTCATTATAGATACCCAGAGCTCCTTGGGAGTCATTCTAAATAGCACCCTGTGCCTGGGTAGATACCAGCCTGGTATCTAAACTTCTAGACCTATCACTCAGGAGAAAAGAATTTGGCTCAGTTCTCCCACTTAATCCTTCCCTTTGGATAACCAATTCACCCTGAAGGCTTCTGGGGGTAGGGGAGGGAGGCATGCGTTATGTGTTAAGCATTTGCTTCCTTAAGTTGCTTACCTGAGAAGTGAGCCACTTAAGTTGTAAACCTGAAGCATTGCTCCCACAACTATTGTTTGAAAAGCTACCATATATCAAATACTACCCTAAGCATTGGGACTACAGTGGTAAGCAAAAACCTGACCTGTTCCTGCCTTCAAAGAGCTTACAGTATGATCAAGAAGGTAGACATTCATCGGAGAACCACACAAATAACTATAAACACCAACCTCTGAGAAAAGGCAAATGTTGTTATGACACCTTTCAACAAAGGGAACTTAGATATTAGAAAGACTCGGCTAAGGAAGTGACATTTAAACTGTGATCTTCAGAAAGCATGGCTCTAGCTAGGTCAAAGGTGGGCCGGGTGGGGTCTGGAAGCGCATTCCAGACAGAGGGAGCGGCATGTGCAAAGGGCCTGTGAAAGAAAAGTGCATGTGCATTCGAGGAGATGAGGAAGATGGGAGAAGAGAAAGCAAGGAGGGGACAGGACCTACAGGGAACAATGGACTCCATGAGGCCCAAAGTGGAGTAAAGGGCAGACCATGTGGGCCTAAAACATTGGTGTGGAGAGATGGGTCTTTACGTGAAGTCATTAAAGTGTGTGGCATAATAAGATTTATGTTTTTAAAATTTCCCTTTGGCTCTAATGCAGATAACAGATTAGAAGTGGGGTTAAAATGGGTGAAAGTAGACCAGTTACGAGGCTGCTACAGTAATCCTTTAGAAAGATCATAGCGTTCGTTATTGGAGTGGCGGTCCTGGGAAAAGTAGTTGGATTAGAGAGATACATAATAGACAAAACAAACAGGACTCAAGGCCCCATGTGTGGCAAAAGAAAGTCAGAATAGTACAGTGGTTAAAGTCTTGGTAAAGCCAGAAAGGCCCAGGCTTGAGTTCTATCTCCATCATTAACTATCGGCATAATTTTAAGCTAGAAATTTAACCTCTCACAAGTTCAGAAATCTATAATTCAGTATTATAACAACCTATCTCACTCATAGGGCTGTTGAGGGATTGAGTGAATACTTGAAAAGCACTTCATACCTACCAGTGCCTGTTATGTGGTCACTAAATGCAATATAATTAACATATTATTATAGTTACGGTTATATTTACTATTCTTTTGATGTTTTTGAAGTTGGCAAATCAGTCTCTCCTTTACTTTGCAAAAGGCTAACAGGGTGAGGACACCAGCTTCCAAGAGCAGTAAAATGTAATCATGGGCCATCTCAGGCTGAGAGACAGCCGCCAGGGCAGCAACCCAATAATTCACTCCGCCACCAAGCGCAAGGCCTGTCCTTCTCATCTGCCTTCTCTTTATGTTCTCTTGGTTTATGCGGGATCCTAGTCTCATACATCATGGCAGCTCTCTGCATTAACAGGAAGAGCCAAAGAACAGCAAGAAATTGCAGAGTCACTTCAGTTCAGCTCTACCCCAAATCCTGCATCACTGGGTTCCATTATATTTGTAAAATAAGAGTCATAGCACCTATGTGAAATCAGCAAATAATTATTTATATTTCTATCGTTTATCTTTTATGTAATTGTATTAAGACTACGGGAAAATTTTGCCATGTTGTTGGTTGACCCAAAGGATCAGGGTCTTAGCTGAGGTTCATCCTATGACATGAGCACCTGGGCAACCCCATAAGGGGGTCTCTTCTTCTACCTTCTTACCTTAGTCTCTTCACAAACTTCTATGGAAATTCTAAACAGAACGGCTCTCTTACTTTTATGCTAATGGGGCTTTGTTTCTGTCCAGGTCTTGATGCAGTCAGTAATGGTCTGTTTGAGTTTTAAGTGATTGGTAGTCTCCTATGATGTAATTTTTGCTGGTGGAGTCATTATAATCTGCTAAATGAGGGGAAGGGCTGACAGGAGGAGGGGCTTCCTTCTTTCAGCAAGGAAGTTGTTGGCGGATTTGGGGTTCAGAGTACTAAGATTCACCCAAGTCTTCCAAAATGCCCCTTTCCCAATTCCCAGGGCCCACTCTTACCAATGAAGTCCTTAACATCCACACAAGAGGCCTAGCAAGGCTTTGAAATCATCTTGCATTATAAACTTGCAACCTGCAGCCACAGACAGGTCTGATTGTGGGCTATATCAATGATGTGGCTTCAAATGTGAGGATCCTGGCTTGATCCAAGACTGCAAAGTTTCTGAGCTTGTCATATCTTTTTCTTACAGCCTCCACTGTAGTGTAATCAGAAGTAGCTGACACACCCGTCAGTCTGTCTAATTCTCTTCTCTATTCCACAGCAATTCACCTTGCTCTCCTAAATCCTTATCTTCAATAGACCCTTAATTTTAGGCAGCCAGAGATGTTCATTCAAATAACTGTTAGCCACTATGTGTCTCCTTAGAACTGTATTTTAAATTGAAATGAGGTCATCTCTGTATGTGAACCCAACCACATCAACTAACAATCAATGTGAGATTCCCATTTTTGAAGGTCTGGAACCAGTCTTGGTATGTAATATTCTGACAGGATTCACTAAAGAAAAAGAAAAACAACTTGAGGATTTGATATCAGGATTAGGTGCTCAGAAGTTGTTGGTAAACTAGCTTAGTGACCATTAGTGTGGCTGCCATTAGCTTTCAAGTAATATCACTGTAGATATAACCCAGGACTC